AGTGTTGAACTGTTTCTATAGCTCTTTATTGCAATTTACGAATTCCTGCCTCTAAAAAAGCGCTACTGTGTTTGTTTAACCCTCTGTATAACCGGCCTGTGGTGACCGTGTTATACAGATGATTATCTCAACCATTATAGTGTTATAGCTGATATCCCCGAGTTTCCTCTTTCTCTGTACAAAAAGGAGGTGGTGGCAGTGTGAAAGGTTAATTGCATAATTAACCTGACCCAGTAACAATCGCATTCAGGCTGCCGGTACATAGATTGTGGTCCAATTAGCTGGAAAATCATTGTGCGGGGTGCAGCTGGGTGTGGCATACGCACGGGACATCGCGGTTTCAGATTGGCCAGTCCTTAAGTTACGAGTTTGGTGAGAAGGTCAGGGGTCTGACTCCGCATTCATCACATATTGGTGACACCGATCATGGGATAGTCACATATTGGTAGCAGCGATCTGCGTCTGTCACATATTGGCTGTCAGCGTACATGGAATAGTTGCATTAAGAGCTTCAGTGCAGTGTTAAAAATTGTATCTGCACTGAAGGATTGTAACTTTTGTGGAAACAGTCCTTACACCGTGTTCCAAATTATTATGCAAATTATATTTTTTCTCATTTACCTAAATAATTGATATAAATAACAAGTCAGCATATTTCTCATGTTATCAACTATTAAGAGTACAATTCCAAATTTTATTGAACAAACCTCCTAATTAGAGATGAGTGAATCGAACTTGGCGAAGTGGAATTCGTTTCGAAGATTAGGAAAAATTCGATTCGCGCCGAATCCAAAAATTAGCAGACTTCGGATGCGCGAATCAAAATTTTCCAAAAATGGCGGCGACATGTGTGGCGACGGAGCGGGGATCTCTGGGAAGGTGCGCAGACAAGGCGCGCTGACCCATAATGCATTCATTCATGACATGTGATCGCATTAGCCAATCAGCAGCAGCCAGCCAGCACTGTGTAATGGTCGAGCTATAAATTGCGGCCATCTTAGAATTCTCCATTAGCTTCCGGTCATTCAAGAGAGACAGACCTCTCTGTATTAGGGACAGAGTTAGGGGCCAAAGAGACTTTAGGGCCACAGAATTGTTACTTAGGGACACAGAATTGTTACTCAGGGACACAGAATTCTTACTCAGGGACACAGAACTGTTACTCAGGGACACAGAATTGTTACTCAGGTACAGACACAGAATTGTTACTGAGGGACACAGAATTGTTACTGAGGGACACAGAACTGTTACTCAGGGACACAGAATTGTTACTCAGGGACACAGAACTGTTACTCAGGGACACAGAATTGTTACTCAGGGACTCAGGGACAGACACAGAATTGTTACTGAGGGACACAGAATTGTTACTGAGGGACACAGAATTGTTACTGAGGGACACAGAATTGCTACTCAGGGACAGACACAGAATTGTTACTGAGGGACACAGAATTGTTACTGAGGGACACAGAATTGTTACTGAGGGACACAGAATTGTTACTCAGGGACAGACACAGAATTGTTACTCAGGGACAGACACAGAATTGTTACTCAGGGACACAGAATTGTTACTCAGGGACACAGAATTGTTACTCAGGGACACAGAATTGTTACTCAGGGACAGACACAGAATTGTTACTGAGGGACACAGAATTGTTACTGAGGGACACAGAATTGTTACTGAGGGACACAGAATTGTTACTCAGGGACAGACACAGAATTGTTACTGAGGGACACAGAATTGTTACTGACAGACACAGAATTGTTACTCAGGGACAGACACAGAAATGTTACAGAGGGACACAGAATTGTTACTCAGAGGGACACAGAATTGTTACTGAGGGACACAGAATTGTTACAGAGGACACAGTTACTGAGGGACACAGAATTGTTACTCAGGGACATTGTTACAGGGAAATTGTTACTGAGGGACACAGAATTGTTACTGAGGGACACAGAATTGTTACTCAGGGACACACAGAATTGTTACTGAGGGACACAGAATTGTTACTGAGGGACACAGAATTGTTACTGAGGGACACAGAATTGTTACTCAGGGACACACAGAATTGTTACTCAGGGACACAGAATTGTTACTCAGGGACACAGAATTGTTACTTACACAGAATTGTTACAGGGACACAGAATTGTTACTCAGGGACAGACACAGAATTGTTGTACTGAGGACACAGAATTGTTACTGAGGGACACAGAATTGTTACTCAGAGACACACAGAATTGTTACTACTGAGGGACACACAGAATTGTTACTGAGGGACACAGAATTGTTACTGAGGGACACAGAATTGTTACTAGGGACACAGAATTGTTACTCAGGGACACAGAATTGTTACTCAGGGACACAGACACAGAACAGAATGTTACTCAGGGACACAGAATTGTTTACTCAGGGACACAGAATTGTTACTCAGGGACACAGAATTGTTACTCAGGGACACAGAATTGTTACTGAGGGACACAGAATTGTTACTGAGGGACACAGAAATGTTACTCAGGGACAGACACAGAATTGTTACTCAGGGACACAGAATTGTTACTCAGAGGGACACAGAATTGTTACTCAGGGACACAGAATTGTTACTGAGGGACACAGAATTGTTACTCAGGGACACACAGAATGTTTACTCAGGGACACAGAATTGTTACTCAGGGACACAGAATTGTTACTGAGGGACACAGAATTGTTACTGTTACTCAGGGACACAGAATTGTGTTACTTGACTCACACACAGAATTGTTACTGAGGGACACACAGAATTGTTACTGAGGGACACAGAATTGTTACTGAGGGACACAGAATTGTTACTCAGAGGGACACAGAAATTGTTACTCAGGGACACAGAATTGTTACTCAGGGACACAGAATTGTTACTCAGGGACACAGAATTGTTACTGAGGGACACAGAATTGTACTCAGGGAGAGGGACACAGAATTGTTACTGAGGGACACAGAAATTGTTACTCAGGGACACAGAATTGTTACTCAGGGACACAGAATTGTTACTCAGGGACACAGAATTGTTACTCAGGGACACACAGAATTGTTACTCAGGGACACAGAATTGTTACTCAGGGGACACAGAATTGTTACTCAGGGACACAGAATTGTTACTCAGGGACACAGAATTGTTACTCAGGGACAGACACAAAATTGTTACTGAGGGACACAGAATTGTTACTCAGGGACACAGAATTGTTACTCAGGGACACAGAATTGTTACTCAGGGACACAGAATTGTTACTCAGGGACACAGAATTGTTACTCAGGGACACAGAATTGTTACTCAGGGACACAGAATTGTTACTCAGGGACAGACACAGAATTGTTACTCAGGGACACAGAAATTGTTACTCAGGGACAGACACAGAATTGTTTACTGAGGGACACAGAATTGTTACTGAGGGACACAGAATTGTTACTCAGGGACAGACACAGAATTGTTACTCAGGGGGACACAGAATTGTTACTCAGAGGGACACAGAATTGTTACTGAGGGGGACACAGAATTGTTACTCAGGGACACAGAATTGTTACTCAGGGACACAGAAATTGTTACTCTCAGGTTACAGACACAGAATTGTTACTCAGGGACACAGAATTGTTACTGAGGGACACAGGGACAAATTGTTACTGAGGACACAGAATTGTTACTCAGGGACAGACACACACAGAATTGTGTTACTGAGGGACACAGAATTGTTACTGAGGGACACAGAATTGTTACTCAGGGACACAGAATTGTTACTCAGGGACACACAGGGAATTGTTTACTCAGGGACACAGAATCGTTACTCAGGGACACAGAATCGTGAATTAAAGAGTATGTCAGACAACACGCAGAGGAGTGGCAGAGGAGGCAATGTTTTCAGGAGCGAGCAGACGTGGCAGCAGAGGAAGGGGTCGAGGCAGCACTAGTCGCAGCCAGAGGCCAGTGCTCCCGGTGTCATCCCGCGGTCGTGTCTCCACCGACAACCCTGCCGTCATCGATTGGTTGGCTCGGTCGTCTCTTCCTCTTCCCAGGTCACCTCTGACACCTACAGCCAACGGTCGGTGGGTACGTCAGACACAACCGTTAGTTGGCATGGGCCCGGGAGCAAGCCCACTGAAATCACGTGTCCTCTACCTGCCCCTGTCCTTTGGTGTTCCCTCACCAAGCGAAGTATCGCATGCTGTGGGCTCAGCCCCACTGTACAGTGAGGAAGAGCTAACAGAGGGCGGTCAGGAACGGGGGGAGACATCCGCCTCTTCAGCAGCCAGGCGAAGAAGTACTGGCGAGGAGAGTGGCTCGGTAGCCGGTCTAGAGACAGGTCTGTCTCCTGACCCACACGCAGCCGAGGGGGCTAGTAGTGAGGCGGAGACCCTAATTGATGATGATGAGGCTGATCGCACTTGGCAGCCTCGTCGTCATCAGGCTATTGCTTCCGCATCATCAGGAGAAGAGGGTGCCAGCTTGGCAGCGAGCAAAACAGTCGGTGGGTTGCCCAGGAGGCAGCAGGGTCGCAGCAGTGTCAGTGGAGGCAAACGGCCACGGAGTAGAGAGCACCAGCTCCACTGCAGCCTACCACCACGGCCAGTAGTGGTGCCGGTGTGCACGGAGGAAGTAGCAGTCAGCCAGTGAGGAGTAGCGGGGGCAAAGTTTCCTACCGGCGGTGTGGCAATTTTTCGTCAAGCCGCCCGAGGAAGTAAACGTAGCTGTATGTCGACTATGTGGCCAGAAAGTCAAGCGTGGCCAGGGGGCCCATGTCTCCATCGCCACACTCTGCCATGTGCCACTTTCAGGTCTCCTCACACACTGCTGGTGGGTTCCATTTTGTCATAGGGTGCTGGCAGATTACGGGCCTCCCATTGCTGCTGCCAGGCCCGTAATCTGTCATGGGCCCCCTACCGTACCGCCTCCTCATGCTGCTGCCAGGGCCCCGTAATCTGTCATGGGTCCCTGTACGGCCTCCCATTGCTGCTGTCTCCATCGCCACACTCTGCCATGTGCCACTTTCAGGTCTCCTCACACTGCTGGGTGGGTTCCATTTTGTCATAGGGTGCTGGCAGATTACGGGCCTCCCATTGCTGCTGCCAGGCCCGTAATCTGCCATGGGCCCCCCCTGTACCGCCTCCTCATGCTGCTGCCAGGTCCAGAGTGTGCATGGGTCCCTGTACGGCCTCCCATTGCTGCTGTCTCCATCGCCACACTCTGCCATGTGCCACTTTCAGGTCTCCTCACACTGCTGGTGGGTTCCATTTTGTCATAGGGTGCTGGCAGATTACGGGCCTCCCATTGCTGCTGCTGCCAGGCCCGTAATCTGCCATGGGCCCCTGTAACCGCCTCCTCATGCTGCTGCCAGGTCCCCCTGTACCCCCCTCCTCATGTGTCATGGGTCCCTGGGTACCTGTACGGCCTCCCATTGCTGCTGTCTCCATCGCCACACTCTGCCATGTGCCACTTTCAGGTCTCCTCACACTGCTGGTGGGTTCCATTTTGTCATAGGGTGCTGGCAGATTACGGGCCTCCCATTGCTGCTGCCAGGCCCGTAATCTGTCATGGGCCCCTGTACCCCCGCCTCCTCATGCTGCTGCCAGGTCCAGTAATCTGTCATGGGTCCCTGTACGGCCTCCCATTGCTGCTGTCTCCATCGCCACACTCTGCCATGTGCCACTTTCAGGTCTCCTCACACTGCTGGTGGGTTCCATTTTGTCATAGGGTGCTGGCAGATTACGGGCCTCCCCATTGCTGCTGCCAGGCCCGTAATCTGCCATGGGCCCCTGTACCGCCTCCTCATGCTGCTGCCAGGCCCCAGAGTGTCTGTCATGGGTCCCTGTACGGTACGGCCTCCCATTGCTGCTGTCTCCATCGCCACACTCTGCCATGTGCCACTTTCAGGTCTCCTCACACTGCTGGTGGGTTCCATTTTGTCATAGGGTGCTGCTGGCAGATTACGGGCCTCCCATTGCTGCTGCCAGGCCCGTAATCTGTCATGGGCCCCTGTACCCGCCTCCTCATGCTGCTGCCAGGTCCCGTAATCTGTCATGGGTCCCTGTACGGCCTCCCATTGCTGCTGTCTCCATCGCCACACTCTGCCATGTGCCACTTTCAGGTCTCCTCACACTGCTGCGGTGGGTTCCATTTTGTCATAGGGTGCTGGCAGATTACGGGCCTCCCATTGCTGCTGCCAGGCCCGTAATCTGCCATGGGCCCCTGTACCGCTTCCTCATGCTGCTGCCAGGTCCCGAGTGTGTCTCATGGGTCCCTGTACGGCCTCCCATTGCTGCTGTCTCCATCGCCACACTCTGCCATGTGCCACTTTCAGGTCTCCTCACACTGCTGGTGGGTTCCATTTTGTCATAGGGTGCTGGCAGATTACGGGCCTCCCATTGCTGCTGCCAGGCCCGTAATCTGTCCATGGGCCCCTGTACCGCCTCCTCATGCTGCTGCCAGGCCCGTAATCTGTCATGGGTCCCTGTACGGCCTCCCATTGCTGCTGTCTCCATCGCCACACTCTGCCATGTGCCACTTTCAGGTCTCCTCACACTGCTGGTGGTTTCCATTTTGTCATAGGGTGCTGGCAGATTACGGGCCTCCCATTGCTGCTGCCAGGCCCGTAATCTGTCATGGGCCCCCTGCCCCTACCGCCTCCTCATGCTGCTGCCAGGCCCGTAATCTGTCATGGGTCCCTGTACGGCCTCCCATTGCTGCTGCTCCCATCGCCACACTCTGCCATGTGCCACTTTCAGGTCTCCTCACACTGCTGGTGGGTTCCATTTTGTCATAGGGTGCTGGCAGATTACGGGCCTCCCATTGCTGCTGCCAGGCCTGCCAATCTGTCATGGCCCCCCATGCTGCTGCCAAATCTGTCATGGGCCCCTGTACCGCCTCCTCATGCTGCTGCCAGGCCCGTAATCTGTCATGGGTCCCTGTACGGCCTCCCATTGCTGCTGTCTCCATCGCCACACTCTGCCATGTGCCACTTTCAGGTCTCCTCACACTGCTGGTGGGTTCCATTTTGTCATAGGGTGCTGGCAGATTACGGGCCTCCCATTGCTGCTGCCAGGCCCGTAATCTGCCATGGGCCCCCGTACCCCCGCCTCCTCATGCTGCTGCCAGGTCCAGAGTGTCTCATGGGTCCCTGTACGGCCTCCCATTGCTGCTGTCTCCATCGCCACACTCTGCCATGTGCCACTTTCAGGTCTCCTCACACTGCTGGTGGGTTCCATTTTGTCATAGGGTGCTGGCAGATTACGGGCCTCCCATTGCTGCTGCCAGGCCCGTAATCTGTCCATGGGCCCCTGTACCGCCTCCTCATGCTGCTGCCAGGCCCGTAATCTGTCATGGGTCCCTGTACGGCCTCCCATTGCTGCTGTCTCCATCGCCACACTCTGCCATGTGCCACTTTCAGGTCTCCTCACACTGCTGGTGGGTTCCATTTTGTCATAGGGTGCTGGCAGATTACGGGCCTCCCATTGCTGCTGCCAGGCCCGTAATCTGCCATGGGCCCCTGTACCGCCTCCTCATGCTGCTGCCAGGTCCAGAGTGTGTCATGGGTCCCTGTACGACCTCCCATTGCTGCTGTCTCCATCGCCACACTCTCTGCCATGTGCCACTTTCAGGTCTCCTCACACTGCTGGTGGGTTCCATTTTGTCATAGGGTGCTGGCAGATTACGGGCCTCCCATTGCTGCTGCCAGGCCCGTAATCTGCCATGGGCCCCCGTACCGACTCCTCATGCTGTGACGTTGCAAACAAGGTGGAATTCAACCCTGCATATGTTAACCGCCTTTTACGAACAGCGAAAGGCCATCACCGATTTCCTGATGTTACAAGCGGATAAAGGTACTCCCCTGTGTAACTTAGATGTCAGCCATTGGCAGCTCATGCGTGACACCTGCCGCTTGCTCAGGCCCTTTGAGGAGGCCACGCTATTCGTGAGTCGGCAGGACTATGGGATGAACGACGTCATTCCTCTGTTGCACGTCCTGGAACAAATGCTGTTAACAATGGCTGGTCAGGGTGCGGTAGACGTGGCGCACAGATCTCAACGCCACATGACCCCTGTGGGGGGCAGGACAGGAAGAAGAGGAGGAGGTAGAGGAGGACATTGGTGCTCAGGAATTATTGAGTGAAATGGGTTTTTTTTCCACTCAGCAGACAGGAGTGGAGGAGCAGGAGCATCTGGTAGAGGAGGGAGGAGGAGACAGAGGACCCAGACGCACCGTGGCAGTATGCTGTGGAGATGGAGGCAGGGAGTCCCTCGCATTCCTTGGCACAAATGGCCCATAGCATGCTCGGTCACATTGCTTGCGCGTAGCGACAGCCCGAATAATAACCATCAGACAGAGGGATGACTTTTGGCTGTCCACCTTGTTGGACCCTCGCTACCGTTCAAAAATGGTGGCCTTTTTCACACCTGCTGAGAGGGAGGCCAAAATAACGTACTATAAAAGCCACCTATGTAGTCAGTTGGTCTCTGCCTTTCTGCGCCAATGTCCATTCTCAGACACTGTGGGCCCTGTGCGCTCGCGTTCCGCTGCCATGGCAGCCATGGCAGGGGGGGGGTGGGGTGGTAGGAGCAGTGGCAGCTCCACCAGCAGCAGCTGCCTCAGTCTGCAGTCGATGATGAGTAGCTTTCTTCACCAGCGCAGTGAGGAAACTACTAACCAGCCCAGCAGCAGCAGCAGCATCAGGTGGACCTGGAGCAGGACCTCAAACAACAGGCTTGGGCCTACTTGGACAGCACCCTGCCAACCGAGGTAGACAATCCCCTTGACTACTGGGCAACGAAACTTGACCTTTGGCCCCAACTAGCTGAATTTGCCCTTGAAAGGCTGTCATGCCTGGCCAGTAGCGTGGCATCGGAGCGCGTGTTTTAGTGCGGCAGGAGGTATTGTAACTCCGCGGAGGAGGACACGACTGTCCACCCAAAGTGTGGAGAGACTCACGTTTGTGAAAATGAATCAGGCGTGGATTAGTCTGGATTTCAAACCACCAGTTCCTGACACAACTGACTAAATCCCGCCTGAATCATGCCCCAAACATTCCCATTATTTTTAACATAGGCCTCTGCATGGCCTTCAATTTAAGCTGCTTACGCTTCGCCACTCTGCCATGGGCCCCTGTACTGCCTCCTCTTGCTGCTGCCAGGTCCAGAGTGTCTCATGGGTCCCTGTACAGCCTCCCATTGCTGCTGTCTCCATCGCCACACTCTGCCATGTGCCACTTTCAGGTCTCCTCACACTGCTGGTGGGTTCCATTTTGTCATAGGGTGCTGGCAGATTACGGGCCTCCCATTGCTGCTGCCAGGCCCGTAATCTGCCATGGGCCCCCGTACCGCCTCCTCCTCATGCTGCTGCCAGGTCCAGAGTGTCTCATGGGTCCCTGTACGGCCTCCCATTGCTGCTGTCTCCATCGCCACACTCTGCCATGTGCCACTTTCAGGTCTCCTCACACTGCTGGTGGGTTCCATTTTGTCATAGGGTGCTGGCAGATTACGGGCCTCCCATTGCTGCTGCCAGGCCCGTAATCTGCCATGGGCCCCCGTACCCGCCTCCTCATGCTGCTGCCAGGTCCAGAGTGTCTCATGGGTCCCTGTACGGCCCCCCATTGCTGCTGTCTCCTGTCTCCATTGCCACACTCTGCCATGTGCCACTTTCAGGTCTCCTCACACTGCTGGTGGGTTCCATTTTGTCATAGGGTGCTGGCAGATTACGGGCCTCCCATTGCTACTGCCCAGGCCCGTAATCTGCCATGGGCCCCCGTACCGCCTCCTCATGCTGCTGCCAGGTCCAGAGTGTCTCATGGGTCCCTGTATGGCCTCCCATTGCTGCTGTCTCCATCGCCACACTCTGCCATGTGCCACTTTCAGGTCTCCTCACACTGCTGGTGGGTTCCATTTTGTCATAGGGTGCTGGCAGATTACGGGCCTCCCATTGCTGCTGCCAGGCCCGTAATCTGCCATGGGCCCCCGTACCGCCTCCTCATGCTGCTGCCAGGTCCAGAGTGTCTCATGGGTCCCTGTACGGCCTCCCATTGCTGCTGTCTCCATCGCCACACTCTGCCATGTGCCACTTTCAGGTCTCCTCACACTGCTGGTGGGTTCCATTTTGTCATAGGGTGCTGGCAGATTACGGGCCTCCCATTGCTGCTGCCAGGCCCGTAATCTGCCATGGGCCCCCGTACCCTCATGCCCCGCCTCCTCATGCTGCTGCCCCAGGTCCAGAGTGTCTCATGGGTCCCTGTACGGCCTCCCATTGCTGCTGTCTCCATCGCCACACTCTGCCATGTGCCACTTTCAGGTCTCCTCACACTGCTGGTGGGTTCCATTTTGTCATAGGGTGCTGGCAGATTACGGGCCTCCCATTGCTGCTGCCAGGCCCGTAATCTGTCATGGTCCCCTGTACCGCCTCCTCATGCTGCTGCCAGGTCCAGAGTGTCTCATGGGTCCCTGTACGGCCTCCCATTGC